TGTATCTACTTCATGGACGCAGTTGCCTGAAAGCTCGATCTTGGGAGTACATCAGGAATGTTCTGAAGTTGCTGAAGGACAAACTTAATTCCTTTGTTCTGGATAAACTTATGTAAAAAGAACAATTGCTGGGGAGAAGACCAAGAAAAGGAACATCTCGTTACAGGGTGCAGAATCGGTATCTTAAATCTGCACCTTTTTGTGTGCATGGTCACAGCAGAGGCTGCCTGTGATGGTTTGGGAACAGCGTCTCCCGTACCCGTCCCGCTTTTTCTAGAGACCCGTTCAAGAATATAACAGCACCACAATCGTGATCCGCCCTGGGGCAACAAAGCCCCGTACATGAACGCAGTGTTCATTTGCATGAACATTTTTGACCTAAGCAGCACCATTATCTATTTGCCCTTCTCAGCTTTTGAGGAAGCAGGAGGAGGAGACAGACACAAAGGAAGAAAATGCAGAATTTCTCTGCTGACTGCCTTAAACACAGAAATCCATGTGTCGATGGAGGTGTTGAGAAATCAGACTGACGCACAGCGGCTGAAGCATCTGCGTTTGGCAGATCCCACAGCCCGCAGTGCGGCAGCACCAGAGGCTCCTGCCCCGCGCGAACCCACCCGTAGGTGCGCCCTGCAAACCTCTCCCTGGCAGAGAAACTCTTTAATAAGAGGAGCAAAAAATTTTCAGCTTGCTATTTTGAAAATTACAACTCTTTATCATACAAATTAAATGTCTGCCTGCATTTTAAATCAAACTATGCATCCGGCTGTAGAACTGCTATCAGGTTTTGCTCTGCTCTGGACTGGGCAGAATAAAATTACTTCAAATTGGCTGAAATCAATATTGCTTTTTCGCTCCTCTGAGTCTGAGCATTAAAATGCTTTCTGTAACAAAATAATGCAGTAGGGGAGTTAAGAAAATTAGGTTGCCCAAGATCGTAGTGTCCTCGTCTATTATTGTTAATTAAAGCCTTGGGGAAGACGTTGGGGAACTGTATTATACCTTGAGAGCTGACTCCTCATTTCTGATGTAGAGTTAATGCTAACCAAGCTATGGAAACAGATCACCTCAGTTCTCTACCTCTTTTCTTTAAAATAGGGATAATAAATAGGGTTCCTTGCTTAGTTCCCGACCATATTAAGATTTAATTATTTCTCTAAACTGCTGTGTAATACTAGGTATCAACTACCTAGTATTTTTCATAACTGATTTGTCAGCATACATACTGTACATAAAATTTGGACTAAGGAAAGTGCCCAACAGTCCTACAGAGTCAAATAAATGTCATTATGTTAACAGGC